GCGGGCACCTGTGGTCCCAGCTACTTGGGAGGCTGAGGCAGGAGACTCGCTTGAGCCCAGGAGTTGGAGGTTGCTGTGAACTGTGATGCCACGGCACTCTACCCAGGGGGACAGCTTGAGGCTCTGCCTCAAAAATAAATAAATAAATAAATAAATACCAATGAAATAGATACATCCTACGGCTAAAGTAGCCAGTGAAAACAATGTTTGGGAATCAGCTAAGGATTTCTAACATCCGTCCATGAGGGATGGGAGGTATTGGGCCTTATCTTTCTGCCATATGCTGACTCTGCAGAAGGGGAACATTTTTTAAAGGTCTTAATTTGTTTTCCCTACCAGGGCCTCTTAATGACCATGAGCAAAATGTCTGAAGCCTCAAATCTATTATAAATGGGGTTTATAATAGATGAGCTATATAAAATGATTTATTACATAAAATAGGCTGAGTTCCATTTTAATATGGACTACTTTTTACATGTTCACTACATTTTCCTTTCAAATAAATCACCTAAAATTATAAATAGGACTTTAAAGAAAACAGGCTGTTACCAATCTGTATCCCCTTAGAGAAAACGGAAAATAAATGTAATAAGGGAATAAACCTATAATAGCTACCCACCAGATGGGTTCTCAGTGACTCTCTCACCTGGCTGGTTACTGCATCCCCTCACACACTGAATGGGGCTAACCGGCGTAACCAGTAACAGACTGTGGAAGTGATAGAATGTGATTTCTGAAGGTCGTGACAGTCACCGCTTCCACATTGATCCCTCTTGGATCACCTCCTCTGGGGGAAGCTAGGTGCCATGTTGTGAAGATATTCACACAGTCCCACAGAAAAGTCGATTGCCAAGAAACTCAGGTCTTCAGCCAGTGGGTAGCAACAACCTGCCATCTACAGGAGTGCGTTACCTGGGGAGCAGATCTTCCCACCCCAGTCAAGCCTTCCTACTTTCACAGAAGAATTTTAAATGACACATACATACTGCCCTTCCTTTGCAGATGATGGTTTTTCTAAATATTATCTTTGTCGTTTTATATATTATTATTAGTGTATGTTTTTGATTGCTAGGAAAAAGTGCTGTCAGGTCAAAGAGATGGATAAAGCAAAAGCTTTGCAAGCTTCCACCTGGAGTATGAGGAGCGGTATCCAGACTATAAGCAAGACAGCTGTCCCTTTAAAGAGAAGCCGACAATGTCCATGTTGAAGACACACACACGGTGCAGAGTGGTAATTCTAAGAAAAAAGGAATCTACAGCTCAAAACTGATCTCTCCGCAGAATTAGTTTCTGCCTAGTAAAGGACAATCTCTTTAACAGATGGAAGAGTCAGGAGTACAATGCAGTGGTATCCCACAGTAAAAGACTTTTCAGAACTTCAAAGGAAACATGCTCAGTGAAAGAAAGCAAACACAACATATCACACCGTATGATTCCACTTATACGCAGCGTCTGGAATAAGGTAAATCCAGAGCCAGAGGGCAGATTACTGGTTGCCAAGAGCAGAGGGGTTGGGGGATGAAGAGTGACGACTATTGGGTAGGGGTTTGTTTTGGACGAAGTAAAAATATTCTGGAATTAGAGAATAGTGCTGGCTGTAAACTCTATGAACATACTAAAAACTATTGCATTATATACTTTAAAAGGGTGAATTTTATAGCATGTGAATTATATCTTAATAAACCTATTATATTTTTAAAAACTTTTCAAGCTGTAGTTTCAAGTAAATATTTGGCAAAGCTTAAAGAGAGAAATATTGTCAATCATTTTCACAAATGATTGACCTAGCTTAGAGGAAAGCCTATGCCAGGAATTGTTTTTATCTAAACAGGCAATTCTGAAAAAAGTTTTCAAATAATCAAAAACTGTTTAACATCCCAAAGAGTTCTGATCTTATTACCCTAATAACTTTCTTCATTAAAATAGTTTTCCCTAGTTTAAGTCCTTGGCATAAGGTAAATGCAGTTAAAAATAATCTAACAAACATTTCTTATAACATAAAAGAGTTTATCTTGGAACAGTCACATTCTGAGATCATATTTTTATACCCTAGAAACTTTCCTAAGGATGTTTCTGGGATACTGAGTTCTTTTAGTTTATATTCACACATTTTGTTTTCCATTAGGATTTAAAAATATTTTTTTTCGGCTTGTTAAACACCAAATTTAAAGTGAGTACAATAAACACTTGGCAATATTTTTATTTTTTATTTATGTTTTAGAAATGAGATGTCACCCTGTCGCCCAGGCTGGAGTGTAGTGTAGTGATCATAGCTCACTGCAGTCTTGAATTCCTGGGCCAGAGAAATCCTCCTGCCACAGTCTCCCAAGCAGCTGGGACGACAGCATGCATGGCTGCATGTGGCTGATGTTTTCCATTTTTTTTCTTTTTTAAAGACAGGGCCTCTCCATATGTTGCCTGGGCTGTTCTCAAACTCCTAACCTCAAGCAATCTTCCCACCTCAACCTCCTGAGTTGCTGTGATTATAGGTTTGAGCCACTTTGCCTGCTAGCAAAATATTTTTTAAAGGTGCATATGAGAAGAAATTGCATTCCATTAAGATACTAAATAATATGCCTCTCGCATTACCTACTACTGCGTATGAAAGTGCCCATCTAAAATATGCATTTAGGCCAGGCCCAGTGGCTCCCACCTGTAATCCTAGCCCTCTGGGAGGCCGAGGCAGGTGGATCGCCTGAGCTTAGGCATTCAAGACCACCCTGAGCAACAATGAGACCCTGTCTCTGCTAAAAATAGAAAAATTAGCCAGCATTGTAGGTGGTACCTGTAGTCCAGCTACTTGGGAGGCTGAGGCAGGAGGATGGCTTGAGCCCAGGGGTTTGAAGGTGCTATGAACTATGATATCTGGGTGACAAAGTGAGACTCTTGTCTCAAAATAAATAAATAAAAATAAAATGTGTGTTTATTTGTTCACCCCCTTCAAGAGACTTTCCGCTCCCATAGGAGCTTACTGCCATGTTATACGCATGTACATCTTTGCAGCCTCGTATATACCATGTGGTGGATGCGAAGTAAATGGTGACTGAACTGAATTACGGTACAACGGCAAGGTCCTCTCCAACCAAAACAGGGAGAGAACTCCTCTTTCGGAACATGCAGGTCCTACCTCTGCTGCTGAAGCGTAGGAATCAGTTGATGCCACACTCAAGGAGTCTCGCAGGCCAAAGTCATCCACACTCTGCTTCATGGTAATATCTGTATCTTTATCTTAAAAGTAAATGGCACAAAGTTCGGAAAGTGAGATTTCTTGTCACTGCCATCTTTCACATTCTATAATTAGTTTCCCCCCCAGTCTTTAGACTACAAGGATCTGAGAGGAAAATAATACAATTCAAGAGGGACACAATCTGATGCGATTCTCAGTTTCCACTGTTTAGTTGATTCTGAAACACCACCAAGCAGAGAACAAAGCACTAGAAAGCAGACATTTATTTATTTATTTTAAGACACAGAGTCTCACTTTGTCGTCCTCAGTAGAGTGCCGTAGCATCACAGCTCACAGCAAACTCCAGCTCTTGAGCTTAGGCAATTCTCTTGCCTCAGTCTCCCAAGTGGTTGGGACTGCAGGTGCCCACCACAACACCCAGCTATTTTTTGTTTGCAGTTTGGCTGGGGCCGGGTTCAAACCCACCACCCTCAGTATATGGGGCCAGTGCCCTACTCACTGAGCCACAGGTGCCGCCCCAGACATTTATTTTTAACTTAGGAAGGGATTAAGCTTAATTTTGCAAACTGTGATATGTGCACACCATGGAATACTATTCAGCCATTAAAAAGATGGAAATTTTACATCTTTTGTATTAACCTGTGTTGAAACACATTCTTCTTAGTAAAGTATAACCAGAATGAAAAAGCAAGTATCCAAGGTACTCAATTATAACATGAAGACAGTAGATGATCTAATATATACCCACATAAGAGAAAAACTCAAATCAGTTCATGGTAGGGGCCAGGGAATGAGGGAGTGAGGGGAGAGAAGGGGCGAGGGATAGGTGTGCTGGCACTTAGTGGGTACAATGTTACGGTGTAGGGCACAATTATAAGAGGGACTCTACCTAACAAATGCAAACATTGTAATCTAATTCTCCATACCCTGAAATTAACCTGAAACAATAATTAAAAAAATAAAATTATAATATCTGAAGAAAAAGCTCAATTTTGGTTTAAAAGGGATTTTATATATTATAATATCTGACATTGGACCATCTACCACACATACTAAAATCAGCATATACCAAAACTAGTTTAAAATAGAGCAGTAATTCGCAAGTGATCTTGCCCAAATTAGGAGAACTGGTAGGCTCCTTTGAATCAACTAATTATTAACGTAAAATGTTGTTTGGGCAATCACTTGTGATAAGTGACAATTCAAGAAGAAATGTGTACGTTTTTCAGGCTTTACAGCCTACTTTGAAAAGCTGAATAGCCAAAAAAAGATCAGATTTGGGTCACTGATGATTATTCTGCTTACTTGAGAGTCAAACATAACTGTCCCAACAATTTCAAAGGACTGTAATAGTTTAAATCGTTTGGAAATGGTTCATCACCATACGAAGCCAGGTGCCTGTTAGCAACACACAGCACTCTGGATGTGGCGTGAGCATCTTCCCAGACTATCACCAGGACTCTGTGAACATTAAATTGTCAAATAACTAAAGGCCTTACTTGCCTACATACATAACTGCATTGGAGCAAATAGGCTTCAAAATTTATCACAAGTATGAAAAAGCAAAGAATAAAATAGAAATAGATTTTTCTTATTTTGATTCTCTTTCTTTTTTCTTTTCATTTTTTTTTGAGACAGAATGCCGTGGCATCAGCCTAGCTCACAGCAACCTCAAATTACTGGGTTCAAGTGATCTTCCTCCCTCCGCCCCCAAGTAGCTATTTCTTTTTTCAGCAGAGATGGGTCTTGCTCTTGCTCAGGCTGCTCTCCAACTCCAGAGCTCAAGGGGTCCTCCCCCCTCAGCCTCCAGAGCGCTGGGATTATAGGTGTGAGCCACCTCGCTTAGCCTTATTTTGATTCTCAATATGCTAAATTTCTCAGACACTTTATCTGCCTTAAAAGAGACCAGAAATCTTGGTTTTCATTCATCCAAATTTCCATTCCATCATTTTTCCCCAAAATAAAATTTATTACTTTTGCCAGATATCTTTCAAGTTCTGTTTAAAACCCCTAAACATTAGAAAATACAATTTGTGACTCTATACAAGAAGTATAGAGTTATTTTTAAAAATCCAAACCACTAATTTAGTTTAAACTCAAAAAGCTGTGCAACCAATTACATTCCAAGCTCCAGGCCAAGCTGAAGAGTGAATAAGCCACAGTTGGTACAAGTTTCATTCCTATTGCTATATATGCACCCTACTTTTTCCTACTTTAGGTTTGGTGGGACTAGATTTTATATTTTAAGTATTTACCTCCTAAGTTTAAATTATAATTGTCTTCAGATGACGTTTACATCAACCTGTCAAAGAACGTAAAACTATTTAGCTTACAAATCCTCCTACTGGTGCCTGTGGCTCAGTGAGTAGGGCGCAGGCCCCATATACTGAGGGTGGCGGGTTCGAACACAGCCCCAGCCAGCTAAAACAGCAGTGACAACTGCAACAGAAAATAGCCGGACCTTATGGCAGGTGCCTGTAGTCCCAGCTACTCGGGAGGCTGAGGCCAGGGAATTGCTTAAGTCCAAGAGTTGGAGCTGGCAGGTTAGAATCCAGCCCAGGCCCGCCAAACAACAATGACGGCTGCAACCCACAATAGCCGGGCATTGTGGTGGGCGCCTGTAGTCCCAGCTACTTGGGAGGCAAGAAAATCGCTTGAGCCCGGGAGTTGAGGGTTGCTGTGAACTGTGATGCCATAGCACTCCACTCAAGGCGACAGCTTGAGGCTCTGTCTCCAAAAAAAAAAAAAAAAACCCTGCTACTATTAAATGACTACTTACAGGACAAAATGTGAGGTTAGGCAGGTACAGGGGATCACACCTCTCTGAGGCAGAAAGAAGCACTGCATCAGGCCTAGAGTTTGAGAACAGCCTGAACAAGAGTGAGGCCCTGTCTTTACTAAAAATAGAAAAAATAGCCAGGCCTGGTGGCACATGCCTGTGTCCCAGCTACTTGGAAGGCTGATGCTGGAACTCCTCGAACCCAGGAGTTGGGAGTTGCAGTGAGCTATGATGATGCTATTGCTCTCCAGCCCAAGTGACAGAATGAGACTCTGTCTCAAAAGAAACGACAATTCTGAATTATTCTGTTTCAAAAATATTTTAGCAATTTATATTTTTCCATCAAACTAGAGAACAAAACAATTGTTTTGCACTTATTAATAGCTACAGAACTGGTCTCACTGAATATTCAACTATCCAGAAAAATGCCCACAATTCTCTTTTTAGTGTATATAAGACTTCCAAAACACACACATACACTTTAAGCTTATTTACAAAATTTTATCAGCATTTACAACCTTCAACGTTTTATCATATTTATTTTCCATTCTTAGTAAAAACTGTTGAAAAAGAAAACAGTGCAATTTTCATAACACCAAAGCATTATTAAAGCAGGATTATAAGCCAATTAACTCTTGGTGCCATTGTCTGTGGCTATTTTCAGAGCGGAGCACGACTTTTATCTTCTGTCACTTCACCTTTCAGACATTACCCATAAGCTGCTTGAAGTCTGTTTTACTTCAGTCAGCAGTAACCAGCTACTCGATGTCATCCAGATCAGTCACTATGGCTGCATTTTATTTTTTATTTAAAAATCTAACAAAGAAAAATGGCTCAATTCCAGAAGAACTAGAAAGATTTACTCATTAAATCAAGTCTATAAACCATACCTCTTATTTCAGTCATTGTTATGATTCCTGGAACGGGAACTTAATAATTATGAAGAGAAAGAATACATCTGTTTTTTAGATAAGCCAATAAAAAGTATAAAGAAAGAATCTTGGGTAACATCCCAAACTAACTGTTTTCATGCATCCAATTAAAATTTAAATTCTCTTTATTAAAAGTAGCGCCAACTCCTGATTGTGGTATAGAAAGACAGGGACAGTATGAAAAATTAAAAGCCAAAGGCTTCATCTTAGTTAATATTTTAGAATATTTCTTGCTGCATTTTTCTTAGCAGAAAAAAAATGCTAAAACCTTCGAGCCGGGAATCATGAGCTGGGCATCATGGCGGGCACCTGTAGTCACAGCTATTCGGGAGGCTGAGGCAAGGGGATCACTTGAACCCAGGAGTTGAGGTTGCTGGGAGCTATGACACCAGGGGACTCTACCCAAGGCAACAGAGTGTCTCTAACAATAATAACAACAACAACAAAGCTAAAACGACAATGTGATATCATTACATGTCTACTATAAGGACTAAAATTAGGAAAAAACATTTTTGTCAAGTATGTATAGCATGGAAGCTTACACACAACACTAGTAGAAACAACAGATAGAACCACCACTCTGGAAAGATTGGCATTATCTACAAACATTCAAGATTGCATTCGCTATCATCTAGCAATTCTACCTTTGGGGGTGTTTTACAAAAATGTAAGCTTCTACACGTAAGAATGTTTTCATAACATCACTGTTTATATTGGCCCCAAACTAGAAAAAAGACCAACTGTCCATCTACCATACAATATATATACAATAGTATATTCATATAATGAAATATCACACATACACACGCAAAATTTTTTTTAATTAAAATAAATAGAAATACCACACAATAGTGAAAATGAATGAATTGCTGCTACATGCAAGAACATGGATGAATCTCACAATATGTGGAACAAATAATTATATTCTTGATTTCCTTTATACAAAATTCAACATCAGTCGGCTTAGCACCTGTGGCTCAAGTGGCTAAGGCACCAGCCACATACACCTAAGGTGGCGGGTTCGAATCCAGCCCGGGCCCGCCAAACAACAATGATGGCTGCAACCAAAAAATAGCCGGGCGTTGTGGCAGGCGCCTATGGTCCCAGCTACTTGGGAGGCAGAGGCAAGAGACTTGCTTGAGCCCAGGAGTTGGAGGTTGCTGTGAGCTTTGATGCCACAGCACTCTACCCAGGGGGACAGCTTGAGGCTCTGTCTCAAAAAAAAAAAAATAAAAATTTCAACATCAGTCTAAAGTAAACTGCAGTGATCAGGGCTATGAGTTTAGTTGGTAAAAATATAAAGGCTAGAAGGTAATTAGCATGAGCATTA